TATCAATCTATATCTATCTATGTCTATATATCTATTTATATCTATCTCTATCTGTCTATGTCTATCTGTCTATCCATCTCTGTCTGTCTGTCTGTCTATATATACATATATCAATTTATATCTATATATATCCATCTATCTCTATCTGTGTCTATCTAGCTCTGTCTATCTGTCTGTCTATATATCTATCTATGTCTATCTATCTATCTATCTATCTATCTATCTATCTATATGTATATATCGCTAACTATCCATCTATCTATATATATATATATATATATATATATATATATATATATATATATATATAATATAGAGATGGAGATAGAGATAGAGAGATAGATAGATAGATAGATAGATAGATAGATAGATAGATAGATAGATAGATAGATAGATAGATAGATAGATAGATAGATAGATAGATAGATAGATAGATAGATAGATAGATAGATACTGTATGTATATATATATATATACTATGTGTATATGTATGTATATATATATATATATATATACATACATATACACATAAATCACAAACGGCTCATTGTTCAGGCTTCAGCGATGATGAAACACTTTGAAAAGCTGGTTCCTGCTTCTGTCCACAGGGACGCCGCGGTCACGTCGCCGTGTCCTTCAGGTTGGGAACGAGAACCGAGGTGAAACAAAAAGACGGAGGTGTCGTCTTGTTCTTGGCTTTGATTTGCTGCTGAGCTGTCTCGGTTCTCCACTTGGAACGCTGTCTGGGACTTTGACCTCGTATAGACTCTCCTCTCTGGTTGTCGGGCTGCGCTCTGGATGCAGCTCTCTGACAGGACTCAGCCCCAGACTCTGAGATCCGCTCAGCTTTTAGAAATAACGGCTTCAGTCTTGCTAATTTAACTGGACGTGTGTGTGCTCTCTCCAGCTGCTGCTCGCTGCGCTCTCCTGTCCTCCAACGCTGAGCTGCACAAAACGTTTGGACATTTGGCTCCTGGTTTTAAATCCTTTTGAATAGAAATGATACAATGACTTTAATATTATAACGTGTTGGAGTCATTCTCTAAAACACCAGAGGAGTGCAGCTCTGGCTGCCAGAGGAGAGGTGGTCGGATGAATCGGCAACATTTGACTCGAGTCATTTGACCCAGTCGATGCTTTTATATTAACGAGAGATGAAAAACCACTAGGAGTGATAAACCCCTGGTAGGCAGAGCCCTTCTGGTCAGTTTTAGTGCCTCTCGGCTCGTTGTTTTAGCAAACGTAGCTCTGATCGTCCCTTTGACCAAAAACTGCTGTTTTCAGACAAACCCCTTCAGGAACGACATCAGCTCACAGCAGAAAATGGAAGACGCGCTGTCTGATCCTCACCATGGAGCTGGACCTTTTAGCATTTAATAAAAACAGTTTGCAGCCGTGGCTCCAAGAAGCTAAACGCTGTGAGAACGTTTCAGCTGGGGGGTCTGCGGTGAAACGCTCGAAGTGCAAAGCTCGTGGACGTTCCAGAGGACAGCGTGCAGGGGCTGAAGTTCACTGTGGAAAATAAAACCGAAGTTGCTAAAACGAGCAGAATAAAAGCTAAAAGAAGCCAATGCTTGTTAAAAGCTAGAAGTAGCTAAAGGCGAGCTAAAAGTTATAGAAGGCCAGCTCAAAGTACCAAACTGGTATCTAGAAATAGCATAAGAAAAGAAAACTGACTTCAAAAGGAAGTTTGTAAAGAAAGTGCAAAGATCTCAACGTATCTCTTAACGGGGAGACGGACGTTTTTAGACTGAACGAAACGAAACAGGAAACCGTGAACGCTGACTCGGCGTTCTCGAAACAGAAGCTGTAAAATTTGTTACTTTGAACGAGAATTTACAAGAACTCGTCATTTTCAGTTCCTAAATAAGGGGAGTGGTGGTGCAGAGGTTCGAGAAGGTGGGACTGTGATCGGAAGGTCGCCGGTTCGACTCCCCAGATGGACCACATCAAGATGTGGATGGGAAAGGTGACGCACCCACACCTGCCTCCACCCTCATTTGCCCCACTCTGGGCCCTTGAGCAAGACCCTTAACCCCCACCACCTGCTCCACCTACATGGCAGCTCTCCGCTCCAAACAGATGGCTGCGGTAGCTCGGTGGTCTGTGGTTGCGTCAGGAAGGGCATCCAGCGTGAAAACAATCGAGTCTTCGTGCGAGATGGTTCGCTGTGGGGAGCAGCCGAAAGAAGAAGAAACCGTAGCTCCTAAATTTAATTCCTAATGGTTTAAAAAAAAAAAAAAACTAACGTGAAACTAGATTTACAAAACTCGGTTATTAAAAATCTTCTGAACGTTAAACAAACGCAGCACTAAGTAAATCTTCGTATTTAGTGAGTTTTTGTTTTATTTAGTCCCTTAACCGTTTGGTTGTGCACGATTAAATAAATATCTTCCTGCAGCCGTCAGGGGGTGCTGCAGCGCCCTCTGCTCCCCTTCTTCCCACACAACTCTGACTCTCCAGCAGATTTTCGGTCTCGTTAAAGCGGTGTGTTTCCAGTCCTCCCCACCAGTTTGTTCTGGTCGGTGTGTTGGGGTCAACCCGACGGCGAGACACCGACCCAACGTCTACAGTAAACCTGCAGGACACAGAACCCGCATTAGTTACTTTCTGGTTTATTTTTGCACCCTGAAGCGGTTTAGGTGCAGATTTTGGAGTCATTGTATCATTCTGCATGTAAGAAGGAACCAACCAGTTGAACTATCGACACGTTCGGGATTCTTTAGCTTCACCTCTGTGCACTTCTGCCAGCTTGGGTCTTTGTAAGATCTTTCCTCACGTCCTCTGTCGGTTTGTAGCGCTCTCGCTGTGCTGCCAGCTTTTCCACCCGTCACCGTTAGAAACTAGTTTCTCTAGAAGGTCAGTGTCTCTGCTTCATCAGCTGATGGAGAATCCTCTGAGAAACTGTGACGCCGTCTCCTTTCTTTTATCAGCAAACCACCGTTGAAGAGCAGAGTCGCATCGTGCAGCTGGAGGAGCAGCTCTCCCTCACGAGAGCTGAGGTCAAGGACCTCCGGGCTCAGCTCAGACGGGTGGACGCAGAGGCCCCGGGGACCGACGCCCAGCCGGCGAGCGGCGAGCCCCACGAGGAGAACGGCGAGCTCAAAGAGAAGTACAAGAGCGCGCTAGCGGAGAGCCGGCAGGAGGTGGAGTCGCTGAGGGCGCTGGTGGAGAAACAGAACCTGGAGCTCAGTGAGGCGAAGCAGAAAGTTCAGCAGGCCACCAAGGAGAACGTGGAGATGATGGACACCTGGAAGGTAACCACTGAGCTTCAGGCCGAGCAGTCAGCTCAGGAACATGTGATTAGTTTTACCCTCAGGTGCCCATTCAAACACAACATGAAGTAAATCATGTCGACTTTTATTATTTAGACTCAGATCTTCGTATGTAAGAAAAGACAGAGTTGTCGTTGGGCCTGTCATGATAACAAGTTTTGCTGGACGATTTATTGTCTCAGAAATTATTGCGATAAACGATAATATTGTTTGAAATTTGACAATAATTAGTAATTATTGTCGAATTTAAGAAGAAATGTTTGTTAATTTGTTTTGCATGTAGTACCTTTTATTGACCACTGGATGGCAATATAAGACTGTTTGAACCGAAGTATGGATAGTGAGGGAGCGAGCAGCGTGTCTCTTTAATAAAATGGGAGGGCGACCCCTTGACTTGACATGGGCTGTCTCTCTTTTCTTTATTCGGTTTTCAAAATGGCGGACGCTCGGTGTGGTTTGAGCTCTTTAGCATAGCGTTTTTCACATAGCGCAGTAAACAAGTTCGCGGCTTCTTTTTGCAGAGAAAAACAATTTTTTACATGAAGGCTCGTAGCTTAGCTTCTCAGCTTAGCTGCTTTTAACAGATTTTAAAGAGAAAGGGAGGGGTCAGTGAAGAACCGGAGTTGAGCCTTTTGTCATCCGGTGTCTTCAGTAGAAAGAGAGACATGAAGAAACGATAAAGCCGATAAATGAAAATGAGGTGGATAATTTTAATTTATCATGCGATTAATTGATTTATCGTTTATCGTGACAGGCCTAGTTGTCAGTTTGGTCAAACCTTGAATGTTTATGTTCAGTCTTGTGTGATATTGTGACAACTCTTTGTTGTGAATGACTCTCAGCTACTACCACGTCAAATTTTAGCTCAATACCTGTAAAAGTCCCTGAGATGACCCCGACTGTAAGAGCTAATGCCGATTAGCTTTGGCAGCCAACTTGAATTGGGTTGTGGTCGTTCATCCACTGGTTCTTTTCTGCTGGTTTATTTATTTTTCATCCAGGGACTTGTGGTATATTTTGCTAACAGACAGACACGGGCATGAAAACAAAAACGATTCAGGATCACAACCGTACTTGAACAATTCAAAGTGTTAAATTTATTGAACTTCTAAACCCAACTTGAGGAAGTTGTGTTTTCTTGGCAGGTTAAGTTTGACTCGTTGGTCAGCGACCACCAGCGATCCTTGGAGGACCTGAAGGCCTCACTGAGCCGAGATCAAGCTGCTCCACACGGTCCGGAGCAGGACGCCCAGGAGCTCAGGACCACCCTGGAGAGCCTGAAGATGGAGCACCAGCTGGAGGTGGAGAACCTCAAGGCCAAGCACCAGATCGAAGCTGCCCTCCTGGTCAAGGAGCGCGAGGACCTCTGCGCTCGCCTTCAGGAGGCCAGAGACCATCTGGCCGAGGGCAGCCAGACCTGGAGGCCCGACATGGAGACTAACTGCACCAAGGCTGCCCTGGACGAGGCCTCCGAGAAGCTACAGAAGGCAGAGGCGAGGCTGGCGGAGATGGAGAAGCTCCAAGTGGAGCAGGACCAAACCTCGGCAGAGCTACGACACAGACTGGAGCTGTCGGAGAAGAAGATGACGGATTACCAGAGCCTGCAGAAGGCTCAGGCCGAGAGCCAGGAGGAGATCAAGAAACTGGAGGAGAAGCTGAGGGTGAGGGCGAACCAGCTGCAGGCCGTCCAGGCAGACCGCTACTCGTCCCACGATGCAAACGTAAGCAGAGGAGCAGAATCAAAAAACTCCTCACTTCACCGCAGAAACCTGACGCACGGCTTTCATCTCACTTTTTCAGATGATAGAAGACATTTCAGATGAGAAGATGAAGCTCACGCAGAATATTGAAGGTATTTGTGAACATTTACACAATTATGATCCACGGCCAGAGCTCAATTTGTCGAACAGCACTAACTAAAATCTAAAATGAGAGAAAAACGGTTTTATAATCTTAAAACTGAGTCTGTTGTAGTTCAGACGACTGAGCCCGATGGAGAAGCTCCTCTGAAGGCTCCGCAGCGTCAGTAAAATAAGTTCGGGCCGTCTCGTTACTCACATGAGCAGCTTAAACATTTGAAACGAAGCTGAACAACAAGCCTGAAACCAAACCTGCAGAGCTACAATCTCTGAAGTCCAACAATGTTCAGTCAGCTCATCGGGACGGTTTCTTTTTTGCTGAGATGTTTCGTCTTTCATCCAAAGGACTTCTTCAATTTGAGGAGCCACCCAACAAAACTGATTCCCACAAACGGCATACTCCATAGTGTGATGGTCTTGGAGGCCATCTTGGCACCAGCAAACTGGGGTTTTTTTCCACTATGGAGTATTCTGTTTGTGAGAATCAGTTTGTTTTGGTGGCTCCTCTGATTGAAGAAGTCCTTTGGATGAAGGAGGAAACGTCTCAGCAAAAAAAGAAACCGTCCAGATGAGCTATGAACATTGTTGGATTTTTACCTGGATTACTGAGCATGAACTTTGATCTCTGAAGTCATTTCCAGGTATGTTGCTACAGAAAACCACTGCTTCTGCTCAGTTTTTATATAAATCTGAGCTTTCCAAAGCTCAACTTGATCGTAAAACATGACTGCACGCCGTCAGTGGAGCAGGGTACAAACTGCAGAAAGGTTTCAGTCTGGTTTTCTCATCTTTAATCGCTTCGTTCTCCAACCATGTTGTTTGTTTTCTCCTCAGAAACCATGGAGAAGTTGTTGAAAAGAGAAAAAGAAGTTTTTACGCTCACTTCTCAGGTCGAAGCTCTCAAATCACAGGTTGGAGGTAAATTATCCTCAGCGGGACGTCTTCTAAACTCTCGTGTCTTTGTTCCTTTTGGTTCTTATGTAAAATATATATATTTTTAGCGACGCGTCTTTTCACACCAACACAGTCTGTATTGGTGTCCTCCTCCAGTCAAGCTGAGTTCACCGTACGGTTGTCTGTTCTTTATCAGCGAGGACATCTTTAGAAGATCACATCAAAAGGAGCTGAACATGTTGGACTCGCTGAAGAATGGATCCTAAATAAATTACAAAGAAAAAAAGTTTAAACTCAAAGAGAAGATCATTTGCTGTCAAGACGTACAGTTTAGTTTATTTTGACTAGAAATAATCTGATTATAATATACTGGAGAGGAAATGGGTGGAAATTAGCCATACGGACAAATAAAACCGTTTTTTAAAATAATTATTTTACTTCTACAACAACGATAATTAGATGAGAACTTTTAGAGGCTTTTTCTCTCGTCTTAGCTCTGGAAGGGAAAGTTCGCTCTGGGGAGAAGAAAGCCGAAGCCCTCGCCAGGGAGAAGATGCGCGTGGAGGCAGAGCTGGAGTCCATGACCAAGAAGTCCCATGATGCATCGGGGCAGCTGGTCAGCATTAGCCAGGAGCTGCTGAAGAAAGAAAGGTAATGGCTTTATTGATTTTTGCATCGCGCCTCAGCTCTCTGTGGATAACTGAAGTGAAAGATGAGATTCTTCCACAAACGGACACAACGAGAAAAAAGGACTTTTATCACCAGTTTGATAATGGACGTTTACTTGGAAGCAACAGACACTTTATTGATCTTATTGTGTTTAATGTAAGACTGCAAACAGGTCCTGAGTCGCTTCTTCTGATTTAAAACTGTATTTTCTCATATAGGAAATGCTTTCTGTAGACGGTAAAAACACTAAAACACATTTTTAAAGAATTATGGGAAGAAATTATCTTTATTATGACCGGAGAAACTTATAAAAATGGCCATTTTCTGCTTGGATGTTTTTCTTTTTCTTCTTTTGGCTTTTCCCTCTTAAGGGGTCGTCTCCACAGAGAGTCATCCTCCTTCATCTCACTCTGTCCTCTGTGTCCTCTGTCCTCACTCCAACTCCCTCCATGTCCTCTCTGAATCCATTTATCTCCTCTTTGTCTTTTTCTTGGCAGCTGCATTTCTAACATCCTTCTACCAATATATCCACTGTCCCTCCTCTGGACATGTCCAAACCACTGTCCCTCCTCTGGACATGTCCAAACCACTGCCCCTCCTCTGGACATGTCCAAACCATCTCAGTGTGTCCTCTCTAACTTTATCTCCCAGTTGTTCAACCTGTGCTGTACCTCTGATGATCTCATTCTTAATCTTCTCCATCCATGTCTCTCCTAAGGAGAACCTAAACATCTTCATTTCTGTCACTTCCAGTTCTGTCTCCTGTCTTTTTGTCCATGTCTCTGTCTCCAGACCATACAGCATAGCTGGTCTCATCACTGTCTTGTAAACTTTTCCTTTGATCTTTATTGACACTTTTTTGTCACAAATCACTCCAGAAACTTTTCTCCATCCTGCCTGGATTCTCTTCTTCACTTCTTTACTACATTCCCCATTTTCCTGGACAGTGGACCCCAATCCTTGAAGTCCTGCACCTTTGTGACCTCTGCTCCTTGTAGCCTCACTGTTCCACCTCCTCTCTCTCATTCACACACATGTACTCTGTTTTACTACGGCTGACTTACATTCCTCTTCTTTCAAGTGCATACCTCCACCTCTCCAAGTTCTCTTCCACCTGTTCCCTGTTCTCACCACAGATCACAATGTCATCTGCAAACATCATTGTCCACAGGGATTCATGCCTGACCTCTTCTTTTAGTCTGTCCATCACCAGAGCAAACAAGAAGGGGCTCAGAGCCGATCCTTGATACACTCCCACCTCCACCTTGAAGCTATCTGTCACTCCTACAGCACATCTCATCACTGTCCTGCTGTCCTCAAACATGTCCTGTACCAGTCTAACGTACTTCTCCGCCTCTCCAGATTTCCTCATGTAATACCACACGTCCTCCCTCGGCACTCTGTCATTTGCTTTTTCTAAATCCACAAAGACACAATGGAGTTCTTTCTGACCCTCTCTGTACTTCTCCATCAGCATCCTCAAAGCAAAGATGGCATCTGTGGTGCTCTTTCTCAGCATGAAACCATACTGCTGCTCACAAATAGTCACCTCTTGTCTAATTCTAGCTTTCACAACTCTCTCCCAGATCGTGTGACTCATCAACTCAATGTTCCTGTAGTTGCTACAACTCTGTACATCACCCTTGTTCATAAAAATGGGCACCAGCACACTTCTTCTCCATTCTTCAGGTATTTTCTCACCCTCAAATATGCCATTGAATATTTGAGTCAAAAACTTCACTGACATCTCTCCAAGACATTTCCAAACCATCAGGTTTGTCATCAGGTCCTACTGACTTTCCCTTCTTCATTCATTTCAGAGCTTTCCAGACTTCGCCCTCACTAATCTTTCCCACTTCCTGGTCCACAGTTTCCATGACCTCTACTCTTCTTTATCTTTCATTCTCTTCATGCATTAGCTCCTCAAAGTACTCATTCCTTCTCCCCATCACGTTCTCCTCACTTGTTAGAACATTACCATTCCTATCTTTAACAAGCCTAACCTGCTGCGCATCCTTTCCAGCCCGATCCCTTTGTATCGCCAATTGGTACAAGTCCTTCTTAGATGTTCTAATATACTGTAACATTAAACACTGTTGAAGCTAAACTTTAAACATGTAAATTTAAATCTAAACTTTAAATATGTAAACATATTATAGCATACTGGTAATATCTAATTTCTTTGTCGTTAGTAAACACTTTAGTCTTTTTAAAGCAAGATTCAATGATTTTATTGAACCTGTAAGCTTCTAAACAGATAGAAGAGGAATGAGAGCTGGGTTTTTATTTGTCTGACACATTTATTTAACATTTTGTTATTCTAAACACTTTGATTGTTGCTGTTTTTACAAATTACTTTTTGAAGCTTTCTGTCTTCAGCTCCAAATGTCAACTAACTTTTTTAATTACCGGTAAGTCAAATATCTTTAGACCTTCCAGTACAAACAAAGCTTGAGTATCTTTGAAAGAATGCATATCACTCCCTGCCTTTCATGCCAGAGTTTTAGGTCATCGTATGTTGAGAAATGATGGAGTTGCAGCTGTTTTGCTCAAACCTAGAAAATAACGTTGTTTATCACAAGATTTCACGCTCAGAGTTTACGTTGAACGACTCTCAGCTACATCAACACCAAATGTGAGCACAATAACTGTTAAATTGACTAAGCTGTAGTCATTTGGGGGCATTTTAGGATCAGTTGGTTGTGGTGGCCATCTTTCCCTTACTTTTCTCTACACTGGATGTTATTGGCAGCGAACAGAAACCAGTTTTCGAGTGTTGATGTTTGTTGTTTGCGTCTCTGTCTTTGTTTACTTCAGGAGTCTGAACGAACTGAGGGTGTTGCTCCTGGAATCGCACCGCCACTCTCGAGATGTCGAGAAGGACCTGAACCGAGAGGTGCACAAGGCTGAATGGAGGGTGAAGGAGCAGAAACTTCAGGAGGACATCAAAACCCTGCGAGAAAAACTGCTTCTGCTGGTGAGAACCAAACAACAAGGTGCCGTCGTAGTTTTACTGAGCGCAGACAGTACGGCGGTTTTATGACCCGGTTCAACTGGAAAAGATCTGAATCATGTTTCAGGCTGCCCGAGCATCCTTAAAAAGTGTAAAATGTCTAAAAGTAATTTAAAAAAATTGTAAGTTGGTCTCGAATGCGTTACTCAAATATCTTAAAATTTGTCGGGTGGGAATATTTAGCCTCATACATATATATATATTTTTTCTCTCTGGACTTTTCTGTCCGGCCAAAGTTTTACGTTGAGTCACGCGCAGACTTCATCCTCGCCTTCTGAACTTGTTTCTTTTATGCAGCCTGTGTTTCAAATCGACTGCGCAGGCTACTTTCTACCAGCTGCTGATATATTCGCTAGCTAGCTATTCCACGACTCAATCATGTGTGAGCGCAAACGTATCGACAGCTGGCTGGACGATGTCCGTCTTCACCGCTAGCTCACGTCAGATGAGTCCAGGTGCATTCTGGGTACCTTTTCATCTGTATAAAGGTGAAACGAGCCTCATGTCATGTATTTGTTGGATAAACATATCCTTTATTCATCTTAATTACTAAAAGAAGCTACACGAGGACACGAGAAGACATTTAACCATGTTTTTTCTTGCAAGGGCAGACACAGTCAACAGGCTTACACAGGTGTCTCACTGAAGCCCGGTCATGAGAATTTGCACCAGACAGTGTACGAGAATTGTTTATACACACTTATCAGCCCTCACAGACAGTCACTGATGACCTCGGCCTCCCAGCTGTACATGCAGGATCAAATCAGCTCCTCTAGAGAAAAGAACCCTCTGAACTCGCACGCATGGTTCAACATTAATTTAACATGTTGGTGATAAACATCCTTGACCTGGACCCAAATTCCCCTGACAGTATTCAGTAATGTCTTTTTGTTTGATGTTTCCAGCAAACATCTGCATCTGCTTGTTCAATAAACAGAAACTAAACCTGAACATGTTGTGTTTGTAAGTCAGCTCGATCCCCCAACAATCGCCCGTATTTAAAGGTTTTAGTCTTAAATTTAATTCAAGATGGCTTCAAAAAGATCTTAAAAAGTCTTAAATTTGAATCGTTGACCCGCTCTTTGGGGTTTTTTGGCAGAGTTTTTACCACAAACTCTAAACACTTAATCCCTTCAAGCAAAGAAAATAGATTTATTTTTGGTTTCTCAAATTAAGTAAATTTTTTATTTTTATTTTTGCTGTTATGTACGCTTTATAGCTCCACGATGGAAATGCTAAACCACAGTGCTGACAGATAACCACAGCCTAACCTAACTAAAAACATCTTATATGGATTTATGAACAGCTTTTATTGTTTTAGGTTTAACCAAAATGGTATTTATTGTTAAAGTTAACAATTTACTGGATAATCTCCGTAAACCACGTGTGTAGATTTTATTGATCATCTCCGTCCTTTCTTCTTAATCTGTGTTCTTTAGGGTCGAGAGCGATCCTCACCCGACCACCGGCGCTACTCCATGCTGGACCCCTCCGCTCTGGACTCGGAGGTGACCCGCCTGCGCCAGCGACTGCTCAGCACCGAGGACGCCCTGAGGAACGCCTTGGAGCACAACCAGCAAGTGGATCAGCTTGTCCAGGCCATGCGGAAACATCCGGACAAAAACCAGGTGAAACTGGAAACACGTTGGACTAGAAGAAGGATGGACGTGATCCGTCCTGGCAGACGAAAACATTAAAGAAGTCGACGTTTGACAAAAGGGACAACATCTGGTCCTCCCTCATTTTACAGCTGTATCTGAACAGATGTGCAGTAATTAGCTGTTTAGTACAGAGAAACGTTTTAATGAACAAAGTTAGATTAGCTTAGCACAAAAACTATGATCTGCATAACTAGAACAATTTCAGCCTTAATAAACAAAAGTTCTGTCCACAATAACACAAATGCATCATAATACATACATTTTAGTTTTTGGTATATCTGTCTGTAGATAAAACAAATTAGTTTAGAAAATATATTAATTAAAAAAATAGAGTTGTGTAGTCAGTGCTAAGTTAATGAGCTGCTGACTACAGATTCATGTAATAGTTTAATGTCTACATTATTATCTGTACCTGTTGCTAAATTAGCTCATATCTGTGTGTTTCAGGTTCACGGTGCAAATTCAGCCAATGGAATTCACCACCAGGAATCAGACAGCACTCAAGATGTTCGTATTATTTCATTATTTATTTACCATACTTCTAGATTTTAGCTAGCCATTACCTACTTTGTAGTTTTAAACTAGCCTTTTAGCTACTATTCTGCTACTTTTGGCTTTCAGCTACCTTGTTGCTACTTTTAACTACCGTTGTACTTCTTTAGCTTTTGTTTAGCTAATTTCCTTTTAGCTCCCTGTGCATTTTTTTTTACCTGTTAGCTGCACTTTTTCCATTAGCTTCCATCCTGTGCCTTTTAGCTTCTGTTTGGCTCTTTTTAGTGTTAGCTACTCCTTTAGCTTCTGTTTTGTTCTTTTTAGTGTTTAGCTACTGTTTTACTCCTTTAGCTTCTTTTCTGCCATCAGCCATCAGTGTGCTAATGATCCATTGTTAGGCTGATGGTCCTTCTTGAGCATGTGATCAGTTGGTTTTGGTTGTCAGCAGCAAAACTGGTTGATCCACCCTGAGAAGGTGCTATTTAAGAGACTGAGCTGAATACAGCTCCTCAGACTGAGGAAGTCTCCCGGATGAGGGACGAAACGTTTCTACATTTTTTTGTTGTTTTGCTTTGTTTTGCTTTTTTTGAATGTCCAAAGGACCAGATTTAACATTTTTGGATTTGCAGAAAATACAATTTCTTCAGCTAACACTTGTGTTTTCTTGATTTTAGCAACAACACTGATATGAGCAGCAGAGACGAGACGGGAGGACGTGGACCGACCCGGACCGATGTGGGCAACACTAAACGCAACTTGTCCAACGCGTCTCCTGATGCTGCGACGGACGCCTGAAGAACATTTCAGTTTACAGTCAAAACCAAAACAGCAAATCTCCGAGTGAACGTATGTGTCGTTGCAGAAGGCATCTATTAGCCAATCAGGAAGCTCCTTTAAAGTTCTATAAATTATGGACACAAAGAAATATTACTGGTGAACACTGAGGACTTGAAGGACGGCAGCTTTTTGAGCTTTACGGTAGTTAGAACGTTCAAATCCACAGGTTGCTGGGAACTTTGACAATTTGAACTTTATTTGGAACGATGGACAAGCAGATGAAGAGCTGAAGGACCGGGTCTCAGTTGCTGTTTTTGTTGTATTTATTACTTTTACTTTGTAATAATCTGTACTGTAGGTGAGCTGTACTGGCTCAGAGCCGCACACCAACCATGACCTGCTCTGGGCCACTTTATTATCCAATGAGAAATGGTATCAAACTGATTACACGTGTGCTACTGTATGTATTCAAACTGCAGCTGTAGCGCACAAAAACAATTTATTTTCTCCACCCAAAAAATTATGTTTGATTATGAAACGCTGCAAGTTTGGCAGGTGGCTGGAGAAAAGGGGGTTATTTGTTTGTATCTCTTAATGACTGTGGTCAGATTGTATGGATTTTTTTTGGACTGTTGTCTCTCCATACGTGTGCCGAATGTGCTCCAAATGCTGCCTTAATGCAACATTTACGCAGCCTTTTCATGCGGTGGGTCTGTAAATTGAATTTCAGCCTAAAAAAGTCTCAAACAAGAGAAACGAATTCAAACGCTGTTGAGATAATCCGAACTCCGGCCCTGTTCAGACCTTGCATTAACGATCTGTCTTGGGTGATCTGTGGCATGTGGTCTGCTCTGTATTCAGGTACGTGGACAATTTAGAGCCATTTAAGTTGCGTTTTTGTGACGTTGTTTCCTAATTACCAAAGGACGACGACACAAATAAAGCGTACGATAATTAGTGACGTCACAGAGCTCCGTCAGACCAAACGAAAGACGAATTTAACCCATAAAAATCCTCGGTGCGCTGACGGTCACCTGCCGTTTTCTGACCACAGTGGGTCCACGCAGCTGTAAAACAATCGGAACCAACTTTAAACTCGGAAGTGAACTCGCCACACGGCGTCCTGCTCTGCTCTGATTATTAAAACCCTGGCAAAATGGACGTTTTTATTAAGGGTTTTGATAAAGAGTTAAAGGAAACATTCAACTGAAAACTCCCAAAACAAACAAGAAAAGCTGCAACTGCAGAATATTCCCAAGGATGGCTCAGCAGCGGGTCCTGTTCAGACACCTCTGATGTCTGGAGCATCGAGACCATGCACATCTGTATTTAGCACCACCAGAAGGAAATCTAATAGTTCAGGTGGATTTAAATAACGGGTCTGAACAGGGTCCGAGTCGCTCCTTTCTAAATAATGTGTTGCCAGAATAAATAACCAAGAGCAACTGTGGTTATTTAAAAACAAACACTAAATGCCTTTTATTCTTTCTGTGCACTGTTAATTAATGTTTTTCAATCTAAAATATGCAGGACTTGTTCTTGAGCTCTGGTTGGTTACAGATGTCAGAGAAACCACTGCTTGATTGGAGGTGCATCTATTAACAAAACACCATCTTAACGTATTTGCATAAAAACGATCAGTTACAGGACCGACACGGATGATTTCCTGTTTTCAGGTGTTTGCTGGTGTCCCCTGAAAACCAGTGATTGGGGACTGCCTAGTATGAGGCAGTCCCCTGTTATTATCCACCTGACAAAGGGTTTCTTAACTTTATATCTTACTCTTCCATCAACTTTGATGCGTCCCGAACCGCAACGTGTACTCCCTCAAGCGTTATATCAAAACGACCGGCTCGACACCGTGACGTGTGCCGTTACTTTTGCAAATCAAATATTAAAGATGGCCACCTGAGCTAAATAAAGAAAAAAGAAAACTACTGTAAATCAGCCATTTTTAGAGATATTAAGCTGGAATTTGGTGTGGTGGTAGCTGAGAGCAATGTCCAGTAAATAATTAATTAAAAAAAGTCAAGATGACGGCCAAAGCTACATTTAAATGGCTTTAACTCGTCTATTTTTACACATCGAGCTGACATTTGGTGCGATTATAGCCGAGAACGTTCCCCATCCCGTACTGAATCCAAATCAAAAAATGGCCACCATAGTTTAAAAGAATGACTAATTTATATTTTGTCATTTGGAGCTGAAGTTTGGTGTGATGGTAGCCGAGAGAGAACCTGAACACACAGTACTGTCAAATCAAAATTTAAAAATGGCCACATGGCAGGCCCTGTCAAAGTTTCTCCAGGAACGTTCTAGTTTTTTTTTAATTATTGTTTACCTAGAACTGGTGGGAATAAACCAGAGGAGCCTTCTGACTTCAGAAATGTTAACAGACTGGATGTAGGTCAGTTGTTCCAGATGTTATTCCTTCAAACTGACCCTGTCTTTGTACACCTCTTACGCTATGATCCGTTATCTATGTGGTAATATTGAAGGTACTCATCGCAAAGTCATAAAAATCTGCACAATGTTCTTAAATTAAACCGTGTTGGCAAACTGTGACAGAAAGCCAACTTCTAGTGCGTTTGTTTACCTACGAAAACGGCTAAAGTGACAGAAAATAGTTAAACATTAAAGTTGCTGGTCATATTTGTTTACCTGCACAGAATACGCTACTGTAGCTCAGTCATATGATTCAACACCCCACGTGGTTTCAGCCGAATGCTTTGTTTACATTGAGTGCAGACCCGCATTTCAGATTTGCATGTCAGTTTATCTAAAAAACAAACAAACACTGAAGCAAACTCAAATTGCACCATTTACAGTTTTGTTTGATGTCGTGCTTTGCGATAAGTACCTTTTTAATTAATGACACGTTGGAGGCCATCTTTAAAGTCTTACCTGTACCTGCAGTGCTTTACTGACCCGTTCTGAAGTCTTCTGAAGGGCTGTCACAGAAGCTGAAACCCAAACAACGGATGTGAGACGTTTGAACTCGTCCCGCCTCGGGTCAACAACACGAGGCTTTGCTGCAAAGTCTTCCAAATCTTGACGAATCTGTCAGCCCAACTGGGAGGTCTGTTTGCTATGTGGCGTTTGGGTGCGATGGGAACTCGGAGCTTTTCCTCCTGAGCGAAACGTGCAGGGCAGGCTCCAATGTTCCCTTCGGACATTATTGTGCACGGGCCTCTCTGCTCGAGGGGCCAGCGGGGTTCGTACCCTTCGGATTACTGCTGCAGCAGTTTTTGAAGATTGAGTCATTAAATATTAACAATGTGGCCAAGAGTTGTTGCTGTGTTATTTTACTGCTGTCGTTTTGTTTGCGTGTGTTTTTTTTATTTCTCAGGAAAGGTGCAGTTACACCTGATCCTAAACGTGTTGCTGGTTTTGGACTGCAGCCATCATCACCCGTTTCCTTGAGACTTGCAGTTTTTGTTGAAATCAACCCATTCTAAAGCTAAAGACTGTATTCACTGCATTTTCACAGGAAATGCAGTGAATGCTTATTGCTGAAAAACAGCTAAAAACATGCTGAATTTTAGCTGAAAAGGAAGAACAAGCCCAAATTAGCAGAAAGAACACATATTTGCTGAATTAGGTTAAAATAAGCAGAAATTAACCCAGAAACAAATTGGCAACAACAACAAAAAAGCTAAATATTAGCTGAAAAGGCAAAAAGAAGCTTAAACTGCCAGAAGAACGTGGAAAGAACTGAAATTGGCTTTAAAAAAAAAAGTGAAATTAGCTGAAAAAGGGGAAGCACAGTTGGTAGAGCTGCCACCTCTCAGCGAGATGGGCTCCGGTTAATTATTTCATTCAACCTTTATTTATACAGACTCGTCCCATTGAGCCATGAGGACTCGTTTACAAGAGGGGCCTGTTCCAGACAGAACATATAAAGTACAGACAACAGTAAACTACAGTAAAAATACAGTTAAAATAAGAATAATGTACAAAATAAATCAGGGTGCTGTGAAGTACTAAAAACGAACATATCTGCTTTGATTTTTCTATTGACATTTGAAACCCCTTAAAGAAATCAAAGTGGACAACTTCAGTTCCTGTTGCAAGGTGCTCCAGGTGCAGGAGCTGAGTAGGAAAAGGCCTTTTTGCCAAGTTTGGTCCGCACTGAGGGAACGCTGCAGGTGATGACCCGAGGGCGCATGTTGTAACTGCACTGACGACATGTGGGAGGAGCTATAAGAAGGCAGCAGACCAAGGAGGGATTTATAGATGACTTGTAGATAATGATGACCAACTGAACAAGGAGTACAGAGTGCAGTGATGGTACGGTAGTTACAACCAGTTATGAATCTTAGCATGCCATTATAGACGGCATCCAACATCTGCAAGGAGCTGGCAGAGACAGTATGTAAATAGTGTCACCATAGTCAATGGCTGGTAGGAAGGTAGTGGTTACAAGGCGTTTTCTGGCATTCAGAGTTGAGCAAGAACTATTTCTGAAAAAGGAATCCAGTTTTAATTTCATTTTCTTTACCAAGTGTTCAATATGTGGTTTAAAACAGAGATGTGCATCGACCAAAATTCCCAAGTATTTGTAAGAATCTACAAACTCAATAGGAACACCATGCATGGATGAGATAGGAGGAAGAGTTGCTGGTACCAACTTTCTGTTGGAAAACAACATCCCTCTGGTTTTGTTAGCATTTAGCACCAGTTTGAGATGGAATAAGTCTGACTGAATGATGTCAAATGCAGACTGTAGAAGCTGGAAAACCTTGGCAACTGTGTTAGCTCAGCAATAAACAACAGTGTCATCGGCATATTGGGGGGCCTTTCTGGGTGCAGTTTGCATGTTCTGTCCGTGCTGCATAGGTTTTCTACCACAGACCAAAAACATGCATGTTAGCCTGATTTGTAAACTCTAAACTGTTCCCAGGTGAGTGAGAGAGTGAATGGTTGTTTGTCTCTATGTGTCCCTGTGACGGACTGGAGACCTGTCCAGGGTGTCCCCGGCCTCTTCCACAGTGACTGCTGGACATGGGCACCAGTGACCCCAGCGACCTGAAAGGGAAGAAGCGGGTAAAGATAATGGACGGGTGGATAGCTGAATAAGCTAAAAATAGCATAAAACAGCTAAATAGCTGAAATAACTGAAAGTAGCAGAAATAAGCTGAAATGAGTATAACAAGCTGAAATTAGTAGAAAGAAGTTAATTAGGCTGAAAGGAGCAGAAATTACCACAAAAAATAAATCGAATTTATCTGAAAACGGCTGAAATTAGCTCAAAAATGCTAAAAGCGTAGCTGAAAAGGTAGAACAAGCTTAAATTAGCAGACGAAAGTAGAAAAAACACGTTTGTCCAATTGGACTGAAAGAAACGGACATGAGCACAGAAGAGTGGAAATTTTCTTTAAAAAAATGAAAGAAAAAACAGCTGAAAAGTAGCTTAAAAAAGCAGAAAGAAGCTTAAATTACCAGATGAAAGTGGAGAGAACATTTTTTACTGAATTACGCAGAAACATTTTCAAAATGAGTGGGAAACAAAAAGTGCAATTAGCTGAAAAAGCTACAATTAGCACAAAACAGTTATAGCTGAAATAGCAGAACAAGTTGCATAAATGAGCTGAAAGGAGCATAACAAGCTGAAATTAGCAGGAAGAAGTTAGAAGTAGCACAAAAATGTTGAAGTTAAGTGGAATATATTCTGAAAGGAGCACAAAAACACTGAAAAAATGGCTGAAAGTAGCTGAAAAAAGTTAAAATTTGCACAAGGAAGTTGAAAGAAGCTGAAGCAGAACAAAATGTAAAAAAGGTTGTAAACGGATCTAAAGATTTGAAGGATGTAAAATGAGCTCAATTTTCTATGAGAAAAAAATGGCAGAAAAGGCTAAAATGTTTCACAAAGCTAAAGTTGTAGGCTACCAATGCCAAAAGTAGCAGGATTGTCCTGAAAGAGCTGAACGTTTTGATTTATTTGTTGAAGTAGCATAAACATTGCGGAAGCAGAAAATGGCGAAAAACATGTGGAATAGTTTAAGGTAACTAGAATACAAAATAATAAATATAAACAGGATCACAATAGTGTGAATGCTTAATAAACATTCACATTATGAAGTCCTCGATGGCGAAGCTAAACTGTCCAGGCTGACGGTGCTCATTTAACATTTTAAACCTTCTGGTGTCCGTGCCGACCTTGGCCATGTGTCCCAGTTTGTTGGTTTAACTGGTGACCTTAAGTAAACGATTATTTGCAAATGTAAACAATAACGGCCTAAAAGAATTTTGTAATGCCAGAAATTTATACTAAAATCATGTTACGTTTTGCACAAAGCTCGGAATTTATAATATGCGCAAAAGTGTAAACTTTCACAAGATGTGATCGTGCTCAGAATAAGTGTAAAACGTTACCCTCAGCTACTACCACACCAGATTTGAGCCCAGTATCTTTAAAACTGACTGAGCTATAGGCTTCTTTGTGCTTCCACAGACCGGTTAGCTGTGGCAGCCATCTTGAATTGGGGCGACTCCAAAAGTGAAACAGTTGTAGATGTGCATCCAGTCATCACAGACGCTGGTGATTATGTGCTCCTTCTCTTACTGGACCTCACATCTGCCTTTGATACAATCGACCACGAGATCCTCATTGCGAGGTTAGAGCAGTGGGTGGGCATCACTGGGTCAGCCCTCGAATGGTTAAGATCTTACCTCGCTGACAGGTCCTTTTGTGTCTCCATCAAAGATTTTAGTTCAGCCTCGGCAGCGCTTAAATGGGGGGTACCGCAAGGGTCCATCCTTGGTCCTCTTTTATTTTCTTTATACCTGCTGCCACTAGGTGCTATTTTCAGGAAACATAACATACCTTTTCATTTCTACACCGACGACTGCCAAATCTACTTCCCCCTCAGACTCAACGGTACTCGCTCTATTCAACCGTTACTGGACTGCCTGGCTGGCATCAGAGATTGGATGGCTTTAAATTTCTTGAGTTTCAACGAGAAGAAATCTGAAGTTATGCTGTTTCCTCCCAATGACACAATCACCAACCACTGCATCGACCTATCCGTTCTGTCACCGTTAGTGAAACAAAGAGTCACTAATCTAGGAGTGATACTTGACCCTTCTCTGAAACTCAACAATCATGTAAATATGATTGTTAAATCCTGCTATTTCCAGCTGAGGCGACTGTCTAAGCTGAAGCCCATATTGTCCAAAAATAACCTGGAGACAGTAATCCATGCATTCATTACATCCAGGCTCGACTATTGCAACTCACTCCTTTTTGATATCAGTCAGACCTCCATAGCTAGACTCCAACTGGTCCAAAATGCAGCAGCCCGGTTTTTGACCAGCACAAGCAAAAGAGAGCACATTAAACCTGTTTTGGCCTCCCTACACTGGCTTCCGGTTCACCTTCAAATCAAATTCAAAATACTCTTGTATGTCTATAAATCACTAAACAGCTCTGCCCCCTCCTATCTTACTGATCTGCTCCAGCCGTATGTCCCACCACATTCTCTCAGATCAGCAGACCAGTTGCTCCTAACAGTCCCAGGAACCCGTCTCAAGCGCAGAGGTGACAGGGCCTTCTCTGTAGCAGGACCAAGACTTTGGAATGAGTTACCTCTGCTCGTTACACAGGCCCCCTCCCTCACAGTTTTTAAATCTCGCTTAAAAACACACTTTTATTCCCTGGCTTTCTGCACTGTGTGATCTGTGCAGAGTCTGTGTGCATCACACTGTGTTGGTCATGTTGCGGTTGTTGTTGTTATCCATTATTGTTTTTGTTGGTTTCTACTTTTTGGTGTCCTGTTATGTAATCTGTTGCTGTGTGCTTGTTCTGTTTGTCCCTGTACAGCACTTTGGTGTGCTTTGTCACTGTTTAAAGTGCTTTATAAATAAATTGGTATGGTATGGTATTACTTTCTGAGTCTTATTAAAATCCATGCAGTGGTTCGTGAGATATTTTGCTAACAGCAGGCAAGGTTTATGACTTTTTATAACTGTTTATTGTTGTCGCTGTTGTCCATTCAGGTCTCTCTTGTAAATGAGTCCTCGAGGCTCAGTGGGATTGACCCGTCTAAACAAAGGTTGAATGAAAAGGCTGAAGCCAGCAGTTAATCCCTGCGTTTTAGGCGAGAGCATCACACAATGTGCAGTTCTTGACATATTTGTTGGGAATAAATTTTAGCTACTACGAAACTGAATTTCAGCTCGACGTCTATAAAACTAACTGGGCCGTAGCTAGTTTTGTGTTCGCCAGTGTCGATTAGCTGCGGCGGCCATCTTTAATTGGGTCGGCTCCATTAGTTGAGGACTTGTTCGAGTACATCGATTGATCACTTTTTGATAGCTCCATTAAAATCCACCCTAACTAAACTAACTGGATATTTTGCTAACAGATGGCAGACTTTCAAGAACAGAGTTAGCCTTTGGAGACAACTCTCAGCTACTACCACACCATTTTAGCTCAGCGTGTGTAGGGTTAAATCGTTTTTCCGTTTGCTCAATTGTTGCAGCCATCTTGACTCGAATTATCACCGGAAGTAGATGTTTATTCCCATGATTAATTAAAATTCGTCCAGTGGTTCATGGGATATTTTGCTAACACCTTATTCTTCCTCACAAGAACTTGACACCACATTAAAACAAAGAGGAGCTATTTTAGGAGGAACTTCACGACCATAAAACCCCAGTTGCTGCTGTTAATCCACGTCGGCCAGACCCTAATCCTAAAAATATTTTGGGACACTGCACTAACCCACCCTCATACTCTGGATTTATATTTTAATAAAACATATTATTGTAGAGGAAATGTACATAATTAATTCTTGTTTATAATATTTGGCTTCCTGGAGGCTTCGCCCTAATCCTGTATGTAAATCGCAGCCAATGGATGCTGCTGTTGAGCTGGGCTGGGATTAGCAGGAGACGAATGAGTTTCAATTTTACTGGATTACAGAACAAAGAAAGGGGGAAAGGGACACCCTGCTCTGTTAACCGGGTAGGACGAAAAGCAGAAATAAACTCTGGAAATAACACGGATTAAACAGCCCGGGAAAACTTGTGCTCGGAAGATGTCGGCGTGAGGACGCGGATTACGATGTTTTAGCGGAGCGTGCGGCTAGCATCGCGGATGGGGATTCGCGAGCGTTGCTGATGGATTAAACCCGGGATTGACAGCGAGCAACAAGGCTATTTAATCGCTAATTAAAGGTGAGTTTCACCGCTGCCTTTTGTTTCTCAACAGTTACGACGCGCGTTTCGTGTGAGAGTTTGTTTTATTGTGGCTGCGCCTTGAAAATCCACGGATTATAACCTTAATTTCTGTTCTGGACCGGGGGGGGGGGAGGGGGGAGGAGATCAAAGGAGAGCGCTAGCATGAGAGGCTAACGCGTTAACGCTAGCTAGTTAGCTTAGCGTTGTTATGCTATCGTTAGCTAATTAGCAAGAAGTCGTTGCGTGATCGTGCGGCGGGTTTCACTGAAGGACACGGTGTGTACGCGGTTCCTTCACTTTAAAGGGACTCCTCCCTTGAGATTACAGCGTCATCCTGTTCTTTTTAAACCAAAATACAGCTCTGCGACTGGGAGATTTGCCATCATCGCTGGGAAGGTTACAGCAGCTAGTAGTACAAAGCCAGCTGGCTGTAAACGGTTAAAAAGCGTGACAGTAATTAGGTATAAATTACACAAATTACTTCAACAAGACCTCACTTTCTGTTCGGCCGCTGTCATTTGTCATGTCTTGTTTTAAAAAAAAAAAAAAAAGTCAAACTCGTGAAAAGTGTCAGACTGGGAATGATGCCCAGCTCAAACTTGGAGCATGAAGTGGGACAATAATAACAGGGAAGTTGCTTCTGTTTATTTATTTAATTGTCTGTGCTGTGTAAAAATAGTTTGAAGAAGTCCAAACCGCTCAGCAGAGTCAAACTTTGTCAACTCCATGGGAAAATGGAGCTTCATAACAAAACCACTTGAAGAGCAGGCGTTGTTTTTAATTCTTGCAGGTTTGTCTCTGGGTTTAGCCTTTCAAAACATTTACCCCCCCCTGTTTGTTTTTATGACACAGCAGAACCCCTGCAGGGCGCCTGGTAGACTCCAGCTTTACTGCAGATCACAAGCTGTTAAAATTCCTGTTTTTGTGTGTGAAATTAACTCATTGGTTTCTGTTTATAGCCACTACAAGACCGGTCCAACAATAATAATCATACATTTAAACAAGCAAAATCTCAACAAGTATTTTAAAATCAATGAATGATCTGAAAAAGAACTGTAAAGCTAGTTCGACCGTGTTCAGCAAGGTGCGCACCGATTGCAGTTTTATGGCCGATCACCGATTTCTACAAACTTTGACCTGATTTGGGCCGATACCGATTTTGTTTTGTAAGCGACACTGTCGGGTGTTATAAGGTCGCAATGCACCTTCAATTTTCCATTTTATTTTATTGAAAAACAGACTCTTGAGCAATATCCTAGAAACAATAAAAACTTGTTTTAACTGGCCATGAGGCCGTGCTCTGAAATATAAAGGAAGTTCAGACAATTGTTGTTAAAACTAAAAGAATCTGTAAAATCGGTTTCTCGTACACGTATCGGCCGATTTCCCAAAATTAAGGAAATGGGGGCTGATAAATGGGCCGTCAGATTTATCGGTGCACCCCTAGTACACTGTGGGGGGCTCGTTGCTGCGGGCTGTACAATCTTTATACAGTCTGTGCCAGAGTTTGGTTCACATTGCCAGTAGTAAGTCGGACCCCTTCAGGGTGGTAGTTGGACTCCGTCAGGGCTGCCCGTTGTCACCGATTCTGTTCAGAACTTTTATGGACAGAATTTCTCTGTGCAGCCTCGGGGTGGAGTACTCCGTTTCGGTGGGCTCAGGATTCAATCTCTCTATTTGCGGATGATGTGGTGCTGTTGGCGTCATCGTATCGTGATCTTCAGCTCTCACTGGGGCGGTTCGAAGCGGCAGGCATGAGGATCAGCTCCTCCAAATCTGAGGCCATGGTTCTCAGTTGGAGAAGGGTGGATTGTTCTCTTCAGGTCGAGGGTGAGGTTCTGCATCAAGTGGAGGAGTTCAAGTATCTCGGGGTTTTGTTCACGAGTGAGGGAAGAAGGGAGCGTGGGATTGACAGACGGATTGGTGCAGCGTCTGCAGTATTGTGGACTCAGTGCCGGTTCGTTTTGGTGAAGAGGGAGCTGAGCTGTAAGACAAAGCTCTCTGTTTACCAGTCGGTCTACGTTCCTACCCTCACCATGAACTCTGGGTAGTGACTGAAAGAATGAGATTGTGGATACAGGTGGTTGAAATGAAATTTCTCCGCAGGGTAGCTGGACTCTCCCTTAGAGAATGGGTGAGACGTTCAGTTATCCGGGAGAGACTCGGAGTAGAACCGCTGCTCCAACACATCGAGAGGAGCCAGTTGAGGTGGTTCAGGCATCTGGTAAAGATGCTTCCTGAGGCCTCCCTAGGGAGGTGCTTCAGGCATGTCCGACTGCGAGGAGACCCCAGGGAAGACCCAGGACACGCTAGAGAGACTGTCTCTTGGTTGGCCTTGGAACACCTTGGGGTCCTCCCAGAGGAGCTGGAAGAGGTGGCTGTAGAGAGAGACGTCTGGACCTCCCTGCTCAAGATGCTGCCCCCGAGACCTGAGTCCAGAACAAGAGGAAGATGATGGATGGATGGAAAGATGGATAATCTGCCCTTAAATGAAAAGTGTGAGCAAAATTTTTGGCTGGATACCACTTATAAACAGCAGAAGGGACTGAAAATAGGTCATCTGTGAGGACTTCTTTGGAAGAGCTGTTTAAGATAGAGATTCTGATCATTTTGATGTATTGGTACTCAGATCTATAAAGAATAACGTTTACAGTAAATGGGTTGTGTTTTTTAAAAGCCTCGTGTCTGAATGCTGCTCTGCTTCATCCCTGATATTTATTGACAGTTGATCTTAATCCATCTCTTTTTATCTCATGATTAACAGCAGATTGATTCTTATATCTCACTTAAACATCTTTATAGAGATTCTACACTTGTCTGATTGTCACTTGATTATCTACACAAACTACAGTAGGCCTAACGTAGGGCAAGTTTGTTTGCAGTCTACAATCATCAAATTAAAACTGAATGACATGAAGGGAACATTAGTCACTTGGTAGTACGGACTGACAAAACAGACGTCTGCTGTAATGAGGGAGTCGATCCGGTCTGGCGAAATGAAGAAGGAGCTGAGCCGAAAGGCAAAGCTTTCGGTTTACTGGTCTTTCTACGTTCCAACCCTCACCTGTGATCACGAGGTGTCCCCAAGCACAAGATTTTGGATGCAAATTAAATGAGTTTCCTTCGTAGGGTGATTGGGTTCAGCCTTAGATGTAGACCGAGGAGCGCCGTCATCCGGGGGGAGCTCAGAGTAGAGCTGCTGCTCCTCTGCACTGACAGAAGTCAGCTGAGATGGTTCAGGTTCCTCACTTTAGAGGTTTACCAGGCATGTCTTTATGGTAGTGGACCCCAAGGACAGATCCAGAACTCGTTAGAGGGATTATATGTCCTCTTGGTCCCGAAAAACCTTTAGATCTGTAGACCTTTAGATTTAAATTTGATCAGAACATTAAATGGCGTTTTACTCTATACCCTTACACTGTTATTTTGTTGTATTTAGAGTTATACACTTAATTCCAAGCTGTTAATTATTCTTTATAATATTTAAAGCAGTGTGTGTTGATGGCAGTGTTTACATGTTTGTTTAGTTTACAGTAGTCCCTCGATATTTGGCGGTTCCACTTTCGCAGACTCACTTTTTGCAGGTTTTCAACGTAAGATTGTGCACAACCCCTGCCCCCTCCTTTCTCTTTCTGAGGCTGTCACAGCAGAGGTGATTGGGAAAGACAGACCCCACCCTCCTTTCTTTTTCTGAGGCTATCTATCACAGCTGAAAAAGAGAAAGGAGGAGGCAGGGGGTGGGGTCTGTCATTCCCCATCGTGTCCCAGAGGCACACAACAGGTGGGCGTGCAACAGACAGCCTCGGAAAAAGAAAGGAGGGGGCGGGTTTCTGTCTTATACCCGAGTGAGTCGCAGGAGTGGCATGGATTGTTTATTTAAATAATCAAACACGACCAAAACCGCAGTTTCACTTTGCTCTTTTAGAGCGTTTAGAGAGTTTAGAACATTGTTTAGAACATTGCAAGAGTGTGGTAAGGGTTTATAAAGCCTTAAAATGTATATAAATACTAAAATAAATATGTCTCTACACCTGAGTCCATTCCCAATAATCCAGGTATAAAATCCAACAATGTTCAGTCAGGTCATCTGGGCGGTTTCCTTTTTTTGTGCTGAAACATCCAGGTGAGTGCAGATGGATCTGCAGTCCCATCTGCACTCCCCTGGATTTTTCAGCACAAAAAAAAAAAAGAAACTATCCAGATGACCTGACTGAACATTGTTGGATATAAAGTCTCTACTTTGCAGATTTTCACTCGTGGCGGTGTCTGGAACGAAACCCCCGCGATAAATGAGGGACTACTGTATTTCAAATTAGGAAGAGTACAGCAGTAAGACAAAAACGTTCAATTATGTTGCTCAAATCTATAATTTAAGATCTATATTTTAGGTTTTCACAGTCAGATTAGTCTTTCCTGATTACATCCTTCTCCTAATTTATTTCCATGCACTTTTTTTGTTTCTTTACTTTCTTTATTCAGTTAGTTGCAAAGGTTTTTTATGCAACATTTTTGACACGTTTTAATCATTTTCCTAAAGATAAAATATCAAAGTATTTATTATTTTAAAGGAAAAGACTTGAAGTATGTTTTGCAACCGATGTTAAGGTCAGGAATCGTTTACTGTAAGTGAACTCTTTTTGCTTTTTCTTAGTTTATCGTTAGTCCTGCTTGGATTTGCAGCAGTTTAAACGTGAAGACGAAAAGCTTCAGCCTCTGAGACGAGGAGCAAACATGGAGATTAAGATGTTTGTTGTAAGGAAAAGCTGGATGGCAGCTGTCCAGACACACCCTGACCTGCTCCTTGTGGGAGTTTGAAAACAGTAGTCCCGCTTTGATTTCGTCTCAGAATTTAAATGCGGCCGTCTTTATGTTGCAGAGAGTTTTGCGTTTCGTTCGGGGCCAGTCCTTCACCGTTCGTTTTACAAAACAGCCGTTTTCTTTCCTCGTTTCTCCGAGGACTTCGTCGGCACGTTGGAGCTGCACTTGACTGACACCTGCAGCACTTCCCTCTTTAGCTCGGTCGCACCCCTTCGGGCAGGAAATATGATTGATTCACCTCAGAGTGCACTTCACATCTTCGGGCCGGCTTGTAGCAGCTTCGCGTGGCTTCATCTTCATTTCATCGACAGGCAGGAGGTTCTGTTTATGCCTGCTCGTTCACGGCATCGTGTGGAATATAAACGCAGTAGCACCTCTCTCCACGGGGTTCAGCGGTCCACTGGAAAACGCACAAACCCTGGAAACATCCACGTTTCCTTGTCAGCACTTATTTGTCTCGTGTGTCTGTTTTAGTTGTGGTAAATGAATGTTTTCTCTGTTTGCATGTTATTCCAGTTTAAGACCAACTTCTAAAGCAGTCTTGGAGTTCACCTGTGGGCCCGTTTACTAAAAGCTTTGTGGGTTCTGGTCCGCAGGACGCACGGAACAAATTGACGATAAATCGGATCTCCTCCCAGAAGGATAAAATCTGCCTCGGGGCGTGTGGTTTCATTTATTTATCCAAGTCTGTCTCGACAGTTACAATAAGCTAATTATCTGAGGGAAGACACAAAGTGCAATATGTAATTTTGCTGTAATTTCTAAATCCACAACTTGTCGTGTTTTGACTAAAACATCAAAGTCTGAGTTACTTTTCTAGTTAAATAACTCAGTTTACTGTGACAGCTGCTTCTGGGTTGTCTCGTGGTTTTTTTTTAAGGAACGATGAATTTTCATTTGTCCTGCTCTCGTCTGTAAGCAGCTTCTTTGTATTGCTGCCCCCTCCGAGTTCCCATTAAAGTGGATTTGTTAGATTCACTCCAAAGGTTACCTCTAAATGACACTTAGGCAGCTTGCCCAGGATTTTAAGATGCAGGAAGAGCTCGACACGACGCTTTTCTCATAACAAAACCTCGGCTGAGGCTCGGCCACGTTCTGGCTCCGCTCGTTTACATTTTAAGGACGGATTGTTTCGTAAAGCCACAGCAGGTTCCACGTACTTTTCATATCGTCAGATATTTGTATTTGATGAAGCAAACACACCGATTTGGAACAAGGCTCTGATAAGGTCAACTTCCCTGCAGACTGCGATGCTTTAAAGACAACTCCTGTTCCTCTTTACAGACAATATTTACGAGTTTTCTCGTGCGGTGCAGTGGACATGGCATTCTCCTGTGCCTGTGCTTAACACCCCCCCTCGCTGCTTCCTAAATGAGAGAAAGAGGCCATCTATTTTGAGGCCATAATAATTTAGGAGGGGAGGGCTAATGTTTGCCGTGGCCTGAGGGGAGGCAGATTTAGATGGACTTGGCACGTTCAGACTGGTGCGGGGCTGAATCCCACCACGCCCACCCTCCTCTCTGTCTGTCCCTGTATTGAGTCAGTGGGTTAGGCTTGCCAGAGGCCAGTATAATGGTTCCCAGTGTCTGGAGAGATTAAAGGCCAGAGCTGCATTGTTCAAATGCCCTGAGATTAGTTTCCAAGGAGACGGGTTTCAGTTGCCATGAGAACATAGTGCTCGGTTTGAGCCGAGCAGTTTTTGCTTTAATGCTTCGTATCCGTTTGCCTCTTTATTAATTTATTTTCTACGTATGGTTTATTGCAATCAAACTACTTCTGCACACTTTGTGCAGTTTCAGCCATTCGTTTGGTGAAATGTTCGGCTTATTCAGGTGATGGGTGCCAAGACTTTTGATACTTTTCAAAATAAATAACTTTCTTTTCAAATATTTGTCCCGGCTCTACTTTCGTTTTTGCGTTACATACCGTTCTGCTACTTTTAGCTAGCATTTAGCCATTTTAGCTTTAGTTAGCCTATTGGCTGCTTAGCTTTTAGCTAAACATTTGCTGCTTTTAAACTACCCTACCATAAATAATGTTACTAATTGAATTTTTATTTAAATGAAAATATTTGTTCATTCGCTCTGGAAACCCCTGAAGAAAGAAGCAGCGTATAAAAACAACATTTAGCTTTCACTTAGCCTCCTGCTACCTTTAGCTTCTAGCTAGCATTTTTTCAACTTGCATTTAGTTATAGCTTTTGCGTTTAGCTAGCCTTTTGCTTTTTTTGGCTCTCATTTTAACTACTTTTAACGTTTTGTTACTTTTTGCTACTTAAAGTTTTTAGCTACCCTAATGCCACTTTTAGCTCCTCACTACCCTTTTGTTCATTTTAGCCTATAGCTAACTCTTTGATACTTTTCTGTAGCCTTTAGCATCTTTTGCTTTTTAGCTTGTATTTGGGTACATTTAGCATTTAGATAGCCTTTTGCATTTTTTTTAGGTTAGGCTTTTGACTAGTTGTAGCTTTTTTTTTTATCAATTTGCTTTATTTATCGCTTTATATGTGTTACTTTTCCAAATGTTTTTAAACTTTTACCTTTTTTAATTTGGCTTTTGCTATATTTTGGCTTTCTTTCCTCCTTTTTTTTTTTTTTTTTTTGTTACTAGCTAAAAGAAGCAAAATCCTTTGTTTCCCAAATGGACTTTTACATTTTGAATGTTTTGCTAGTATTGCCTTTTAGTTGGCGTTCCGCTTCCATGAGTTGTAGCTATTGTTATGTTTTTAGCTTTAACAACTCAGTTTCACCTTATTCAGCAAATACACTCAGCACACAGCATTATTTATCTAGTCACATTTTTTTGTTTAGTGGGTTTATTTTAATAAAAAGGTATTTTGGCTGTGGCTTCCCCTTCACTGTGGTTGAAACCTGAGGACTCATCTCATTCATCTTGAGTCAATATTTCTTCAAGTGCCATCTGTCAAGGAGAGAAAATCCAGTGTTCAGGGGCTCATATGACATCCTCTGAGTGCTCTAATCATCTTTAACTGACAATGGCAGCTTTTTGATGGATTTCGCTTTCAGGGATTCTGGAAGTACGACTCTAGGGACGCACTAGTCTGTCAGATGAAGAGACGGATGGATGGATGGATGGATGGATGATGGTTGAATGGATTACCACAAATTCTTTGCGTTTGCCGTTATGGTCCCTGGAGAATCTGCTGAGACGCGAGCATCACCGTGAAGTCGTAAAGATGAAATGCGAGTGCGGTATTTGTTGAACAGGAGTAGTTCGGATGCACGATGGATCTTCCATGGTTCGCAGAAAACCTTGGGAAGAAGAGAAAGGGTGGCCGAAGATGGAGAGTGTGGCTCTCTTGTGGGATATGAGAACAAATGAGGATGGAGGGCAGGAGAACAGTCACCTTTGTGCTTCATGCATGATGACCCCAAACTAAAATGAACAAAATGTTAGGTTTTCTGTAAATGGTCGTGTGTGTATTTAAATAAAAACCCTGTGATGGCAGCAGACCTGCTTTCAGTGCAGGCTGTGGACACACATTTAAAATATGTCTGCTTTAACAGTGTTCACCTGTCTGTTGCAGAGGCATGGCTCAGATGAGGAAGCTGGCATGTGATGGCATCAGGACAACCCCCCGCGGCGAGCCGCAGGTCCCGTTGGTGTCAGCCAGACAGGAGATCCTCACCAGCCTGGTGTCGGCTCTCGATTCTGTGGTACGATCGGCCCTCTGTCATTTAAATGGATAATATGCCCTTTAATGTGTTAATGCTGACGCAGAGTTCACATTTTATCTTGTTTTTTTTTGTTGTATGTGCAACATAATAACTTGTGCACACTTTGTGCTGTTTTAACCATTAATGTACCATCATTCATGAGATGGGTGCTGTGACTTTTGGATTTTGTAACTTTTATACTTTTCAAATTATTTTCCGTAACTTAAATACATTGTTCTTTTGAAGTTTGCTTCAGTGTCTTCTTATTGCTACTTTTAGCTTTTAGATGACGTTCTGCTGCTTTTAACTTTTATGTAGCCTTTTGCTACTTTTCTCTCTTAGCTTTAGTTTAGCTTCTTTTAACTAGAGTTTTGCTGCTTTTGGCTTATAGGTTGCTTTTTGCTACTTTTAGCTTGTAGCTATTGCTTTGCTAGGCAATGGTTTGCTACTTTTAACCAGAGTTTTGCTTCTTTTGGCTTTTACCTAATGTTTAACTAATTGTAGCTTTTAGCTAGTGTTTTCCTATTTTTGACTTTTAGTTACCGTTATGCTTTTTTAACGTTTAGCTAGTGTTCTGCTTCTTTTAGCTTTAAAAGCTTAGTTACAGCTTCTTCAGCAAGTTTAGCAAATTTCAGTAAAATAATTCAGCAGTTCTCTAGATGTTTTTTTTAGCTTTACAGTTAACGATGACCCAACAAGGTTGAGTCTGGTCATCTGGACGGGTTCTTCGTTGTTGAAACATTTCATCTTTTACCCAAAAGACGTCTGTCTGAGGAGCTGCAACAAACTTAGTCTTATAAATAGCACCTTCTCATGGTGGATCCACCATGTTTGCTGGGGACAACCAAAACTAACTGTTCACATGCAAAAGGAGGACCATCATTTAGGATCGCCCTAACTGATGGTCATTAGTGCCCTGATGGCTGCTTGCTATTCACAGGGGGCTGAGTGATACTAGCAATAGCAGCATTGTAAGAGGGGGACAATGTAGGGGGAGTGGTGACGCAGAGGTTAGAAGATGGGCTTGTGATCGGAAAGTTGCAGGTTCACCTTCCGGTACCGTCAACATCAAAATGTGAGTGGAAAAGGTGAAACACCCACACCTCCCCCCACCCTCATTCGCCCCACTCTGGGCCTCTGAGCAAGGCCCTTAATCCCCCCCCCCCCCATCTGCTCCCTAAACAGGTCTCTCTTGAAAATGAGTTCTCGTGGCTCAGTGAGACTACCTGGATAAATAAAGGGTAAATTAAAAAAATAAAATTGAACACGGAGGCCTCCGCCCCTGTTTAACAATGGACAAGTTCTCTTGACAAAAATGGCTTTTTTTACCCCTCTCTCTCAAACCAACGTTCCTCTCCTCCTCTCTAAAGGATGTGAACATCTTCATCCCTGAAAGCGTGACTGCTGGCCTGCAGATGAGTGTAGACCACAGAGTCCTGGCCTGATGTTGCTCTTCTGTACTGGATCATTATTTTGGCCAGTGGCTGTTTAGTTTCCCTGATGTAGAACTGATCACTTATTATCAAAAGAACCCATCCACAGGACCCGACTCAACCTTGTTAGGTTTATCTACCTGGATCACTGAGCATGAATTAGTTTACATTTACAAGTTTGACTCCTGGTTGACTCTTGTTAGACATCTGTCAGACATTTGCTAGACTCTTGGATGACTACTGGTCGACTCCTGATTCACCCCAGGTTGACTCCTGGTTGACTCCTGATTCACTCCAGGTTAACTCCTGGTTGACTCTTGTTAGACATCTGTCAGAAATTTGCTAGACTCCTGTTTGACTCCAGGTTTACTCCTCTTTGACTCCAGATTGACTCAAGATTGACTCCAGGTTGACTCCTGGTGGACTCCTGGTTGACTCCAGGTTGACTCCTGGTTGACTCCTGGTGGACTCCTGGTGGACTCCTGGTTGACTCCAGATTGATTCTTGGTTGACGCCAGGTTGACTCTTGTTAGACTTCTGTCAGACAATTGCTAGACTCCTGGTTGACTCTTGGTTTACTCTTGGTTTACTCTTGTTAGACATCTGTCAGAAATTTGCTGGACTCCTGTTTGACTCCAGGTTTACTTCTCATTGACTCCAGGTTGACTCCAGGTTGACTCCAGGTTGACTCCAGGTTGACTCCTGGTTGACTCTTGGTTGACTCCTGGTTGACTCCTGGT